ACAACATCGTGTGATGTGGCGAAAGAAAAACAGAGGAATTCAACAGCAGGGTGCCAATGGGAGTGGCAGGCCCATCCTGGATTCAGGACTGGATCCGGCATCCCCACAATAACAGAATGACTATGATTTCTCCAGGCTCTCAGTCCTGATCTAAAGTCTCAATAAAATCTCAATATCCAAGAAGGGAATTCCTCGAAGACCCCATAAGAGTTCCACTTGTTCTGGAATTCCACACTGGAATACAGGTCACTGAGTTAACTGTTAGGTGACCTTCGTCCCCTGAGAAGCCAATCTTTTTGCTTCAAATTTTTTCAAAGGTATTAAAGGTCATTTCTTGATCACGTCACTTGTTTGACTTTCTGTAGGTTTGCTAGGATCCTCCATTGCATCTGGAATGGTTCATTTCCCTGTGGTTACAAACGCTAAAAGTAAATCTAAGTAACCTAAGATCTTACCATTTTCCACCCGTGATTTGTTCACTAAGGGAATACTGAAGGTCCCGCAGACTGCCGTAATAACAAACACCTCTTTCTTGACAGAGGACAACCAGAGTGCTCCTGAGAAGCCAAGATGAGAAGACTTCACCTCACGTACTTTGGGCACATTATCAGGAGGGACTAGCTCCTGGAGAAGGGAATCACCCTGGGTCAAATAGAGGGTCGGCAACAGAGGGGGAAGACCTTCAATGAGATGAAGAGACACAACAGCTGCTCTACTGGGCTCAAGTTTAGCAAAAATGATGAGGGCTCTTCAGGCCATTTTTATTTCGCTTGCACACAGGGTCCGTGAGTCGGCCCCAATCTGGCAGTACCTAAAGCAATAAGATAATCAAGTCTACCTGGCTTCCAGCAAGAGGATTCCTCTTTCTATTCGCTACAAGGAAGTCATTCTCACATGTGGCAATCATCCAGAGAAAATGAAGGAAGAGAATTGTAGCCAGAGATATGTATGTTCCACCTTCACCACCACTATGTCACCTATCAACCTCCATCATACCACTGTGCTCCTACAGGGAATGGTGGAATCATGCGAAAACCATCCACCTGGAGCTACTAACTGGGATGTAAGTTTTAAATGTACGCGCTACTCATTGAGTTAAGAAGACTCTATGTGATAGTAGCTCTTCCAAACAAAGATTGCCCATGGAGAACAGATCAGGAAAACAGGCCATCAGCTGCAGAAGCCACACTAGAAGTGTTGAAAACTATACAATGCAAGCCAGGCACACAGAGGGCACACTTCTCTACATTATGAACTGAGCGGTTCATTTTGAAAAATATCAAACTCTAGCCAGCTACCCTAGTTAGCAGCTCTTTATGCTGTGATCGACAGGTATACGTTGAGATGCTTTTATTTTCATTGATGATCAACTTGCTGCCCCGTGAAACACCTATGGAAAATAGCACGTCCCAAACAGGTTTCCGTTAAAAACAAAAACAAAACAAAAAAACCCTTTTGTAGTTAGATTGCGTTGGTAAAGAATTCACACTGTTGTAGGGCAGCATTTTAAAGAAGGTGATGAGTTAGGCATTTGCAGCCATTTATAAAACATTCTATTCCCAGGAATTGGGTAAAAATCAAATGTCCTTGATGGTCATTGCCTCCACTTAAAATGCACATCCCCATTTTTGTGACTTTAGTTGAAGTTAGGTGTCGCAGAGCACCAAATCAATCTCTGACGTCCTCTCTGCTCTTCCATATAAAACCCAACGCTTGTTTACTCTGTCTTCCTTCTTTCTCTTCCACGAATATGCTTTCCCATTTTTCCCTTCCTCCTCTTTGCAAACTTCCCACATGGCCTTGGCCAATGACAGCCTTGTTCAGCTGTGCTGGTAGGAAAAGTCTGCTACCTATGTAAGCACACAAGCATCAGAAGGAAACTTCATCATGAAATGACCCAGGGGACAAGATAGTAAGTCACGATCGGAAGGATCAAGGTTGCTATGGGAAACAATGGTCCATGACGTAAAATAGGGATGCAATCGCCGTTATTTCTAATTGTAAATAAGGAAAGTTACTATAGCATAAAAATAGTAAATAAATACTAAAATATTTAGTATTTTAAAAAGTAAAATAATGTTTTACTAATACTAAATAGAAAAAAATGCCCGCTGGATCTGAGTAATTTCCAAAGAGAATGCTTCCTCAAATACATTGAATGACAATCCTTGGCTTGTGGTATAGTCATTGTCACCATGTTAAAGAACCTACCATTTTTACATAAGAGAGAGGGTTTTTAAAAGTTTCTGGAAATATGGAGTTAAAAGAAAATGGTTTTTTTTTCCTGTGAACTTTTTTGACACCGCTTCCATATTTGGTTGGGTTTCATGATAAGTTTTGCTCTGAACTTACAGTCACTCCCTGTATGCCTAAATTCAATGTATGTGCCTCTATATTTCTGTAACTGACATGTCCACTGCCCCATAGAGCCACCCAGTTGTAGAAGCCCCACTGCAGTCTGTAGGAGAAGACCAACCAAAGTGATCATGAGTCATCTTGCTTTAGAGGCTCTTCTACTACCAAAAGATACCACAACATTATTTTCAAACTGGAGTTCAAATTATATTTGCCTCAACCTGAACATCTTAGGAACATTTTTGAAGGATGAGAAGCTGCTGCCACCCAAACAATATGACGTTCTCCAATCCTTGTTCTCGTCTTTCACTCTGTATCAACACATCACCCAAGACAGATAATGCCACAGTCCTCATTCTGGACGGTGGTAGAAAACGTTCATTACCAAATCAGATGCAATCATAGAAACCTGGAAAGAGCTTGAGTGGAATTTTACCTTAAAACTATGCCTGTCCTTGCATGACAGAGATGAACTAACTGATCAAAGACAAAAAATACACACCTACCTTCTGCAGGTGGCGCTTATTCAGCACAGTTGGAATTACCTACCTTTCTGTGTCCTCTGTGCACACAGCATCTTCCTGACACACAGTGGTATAGATATGTGATAGAGAATACACTTTTGAGAATAAAAAAGTACCTGCTAATACTTAAAGGAGAGGAACTACGTGCCGACCAATGAGGGTGAACTAAGGCCATGCTGTACCATTTCCCTAGCTACTCCCCACGCGCCCGTCTGGCTGTCTTCTTCAGAGTGCGTTGACATTCCAGATTCGTAAATATGACAGGAGGACCTTATGTAACGTCAAAGATCATTGGTGAGACAATTGGATGCCAAGCATTCTGCAGACACCACGTCCTTTTCATCCCAGACAGGGCGGCCGAGGCTCACATTGCCATGAACAAGTGTCCACAAGTTTTCTCCCTGTCCCGCCTAATTTCTCACTTCTTTTCCTCAGTGTATTTTAAAAGACTAACAAAAAGCTGCTGGGGAATAATGGAAAGGATAGTTATACAAGACAATACACACATCAACAACTATTCAGAAGGAAGGATTCAAGGAAAACCAAACAGATATGGCAGAGAGAGCATGGAAACTGGGACCTGCTTCAGGGCAACATTATGAGATGCCTCTACTGCTTAATCAGATCAACTCATTTTAGTTGTATCAAGTAGGAGGCCAGGTGGTTATTATTTTGGATTGTAAAGCAAAATCTACCATGAAGACTGCATGAGAGAACCAAAAGGTGACCAGGATCTCGCAAGGCAGGACTTCTCTTTCTTTCTTTTTGACTTTCAATCAATCTCTTTGCAGTAAGTGTTCATGCATTTCAAGTGTGTTCCTCCTTAATCATGGAGAAGTTACAAAAAATAACCTAGAAAGGAACTGAAAACTCAAGTTCACTGATACCCACAGATTGAACTATCTTCACCATCAGGGTCAGCAGCATATTCATAAAATCAGCCTCCTTTTATACCTAAATCAACGGAGGTGTCTTAAGTGTATCAGTCACAGGGTTCTCTCTCAATACAATCAAGATACAGAGAAGGACACACATAAATATTCTCAGAAGTGAAATGCATATATAAGCGGAGTAACCATTTATATATAACATATATATCAATGTAATTCACCAGAGAGCTTCATTATCTTAGACCTGAAAGAATCCTGAAAATGGTTGAAATGCATTGAATTGGAGGGGGAAAAATGTCTGCAGTCATGTGCAGCCTAATAGTCACTGGGCCAACATTTGGCAGCATGTATGTCAAAAGCCCTAACTCCCATAAAGCCTATTAGGTTGACCATTCAAACAACCTATGGTGGTATAATAATCAGGTACTATGTAGGACACATAGCACAACTTTATTATTTTATTATTATTATTACCAATGTGCTCCTAAGCCTAAGAGGGTGTAGTGTGGCTGGAAGTGTATCTCTGATGTTCCTTTTATGCATGGAAAGATACATTATACACTATATACTAAGACAAAGATTTGATTGATATTAGATAAAAATCAAAACTATTTCAAAGTATGTACAAATTTGACTTAAAAGTGTTCTTTGCATAGAATGCGTTTGTAACAGGTGCTGGCCACTGTATAACATGATATTTGTACAATGTCCAAGTCACATAATTCTGCTTCATGGAATGGATCTTGGGCATTGAGGAATATGACTCCAAATCTTTATTTGGAAGGACGAAGAGAGTCTCTAAACTTCTTGAAAATAACTGCTTTCCATAAACATTCTCTAATTTCTAGGTAATGACAATGGAAGTGTCTCTAAATTGTTATCCAGATGACTTAATTAATTGAGAACTGTACACCATACAATAAAAATCTTGTCTGATTTCTTTCTCTCAGTCACACGAATTTTAATCTTGATTTTAAATAGGAATAGAAAATACCTCAGCAAAAGCAGAGGGGGCAAGAAGAAGAGAATACTAGTATTGTTAAGCAAGAGACATCTCTTTGCTCTGCCCTTAAGAACACTATCCTCCAAGTTGCTTATTCTCCAAGTTTCTGGAAGAGAAAATTGCTTACGAATCTTTCAGAACAGCCTTTCCCTTCCATACTGTCATTGAAGTTTTCTCCGGGCCCTAGGCACCTGGAATCAGTCTCAAGCAGGAGAAGCTTGTACTCACGATCATTGCACTGGTTCCCAGAATACGAGGTCATGGAACAATCACAAGTGAAGCCTTCCCATTGCTGCATGCAGACTCCCTGGTTGGCACATGAATCTTCCTGGCAGGTGGTACTGGGTCCTGCAATGCACAAGAAGAGAGAGAACAAAGGCGAGACGAAGTTTGATTAAAAATGATGCAAATGCAAAGCAAAACTAAAAACCAAATCAAACGCTTTGTTGTTGAGTGAATTCCAACTCCCAAGGACCCCTTAGGACAGAATAGAACTGGCCTTAGCGTTCCAAAGCTATACATCTTTACAGAAGCAGACTGCCATATCTTTGTCCCCAGGAGTGGCTGGTAGATTTGAACTGCTGCTCTTTCCATTAGCAGCTGAGTGCTTTAAGCACCGTGCCATAGGGGTTGCTGACGGTGCCACCAAACCCAACCCACTTCAGTCAATTCGGATTCACAGTGACCTTGCAGGACAGAGTAGCACAGTCTCGCGAGGGGTCCAGGCCTTCACGGTTTAATGGTAAGAAGCAGATGGCCACGTCTTCCTCCCAAGGAGCAGCTGGTGGGTTCAAACCCCCCACCCTTAGGTTTAGCAGCTGAGTGCTATGCCCACTGTGCCACTAGGACTTCTTTACTGTGCCACCAGTGCCCCTTCAATCAAAAGCAACCACCTGAATTTATCATTCTCATGCCCCCAAACCATAGAAGACACAACCACCCGACTCACAACTGATGTATCATGCAATAGGAATCCCAAAGACCAAGGACAACAGGAAATGCACAATTAACCACAAACTATCCACTGATACACACAAAAGGGAGAGGGCTGAACACAATGTTGTCTTCCAAGTAGACTTTGAAAACGAGCTTCATCTCTACAGTTAGATAGAGACCTCCTATGGGACCTGGTCTTTCTTAACATATCATGCTAAGGCAAACAAACAAACAAAAAGTGATCCCCCCCCCCCCCCCCAGCATGGTTCTAAGGAATTAAAGTTGAATTTCTTGTTGTAAAATGGAAAAGTCTCCTTTGTGACATTAAGAAGCTATACGTTCATGGTAACAATACAGCAGCCCATTTGTAATCATGGTTTCTGGATAACGGGCATGGAACACTGAAGCTAGGTCTGCATTACCTCATTAAGGGTTCCAAGAGGAACCCTTTATACCGATAAGTAAACTGAGCTCAGAGAAGCAAAAATACTTAACGCAAAGCCACACGGTTGGTCGTTAAAGGGGCTTGGTGTCAAATATAAATAGACTCACTCTGAGACCCATGTTTTGTAATTCTCCAAGTATAGTACCTAGGCCACGAGCCACTGAGGGTTTGCAGAGATTAAAATCCTTAAACTCCATCCTAGATTTACTGAATGGGAAAACCAGATTCCCTGGCTTTCATAAGCCCCAGGTGATTTCAAAGCGTCCCAAGGTTTTGAGCACTCCAGCACTACGGCATGTTGTTGTTGAACACATTTTAGAAGAATTCTCTCCAATGAGCATGTGTATACCAGAGGAGGCAAAGGAAAATTATTTGGTGTGTGGAAGAAATTTTGTTCATCTTTTGGATCTCTTACTTTCTGATTTCTGCTTTTTATTATTTCTATACAAATTATATACATGCCTACTAGTTCAAAAGGCACCGCACTGCTACATAGTTCATTCAGACTCATAGCAGAGACAAAGGTTTCTGAGACTGGAACTATGTAGAGGAGCAGACAGCTCCTCTCTCTCCAGCAGGAAGCTGGTGAGTTTGAACAGCCAACTTTGCAGCTCACACTGCTACTTTAAGTCTAATTTATAAATAGATATTGCCATTTGAGGAGGCATTCTCAAATTGTTATAAAGCGGGGAGGGATCCAGATCAAGTTTTCCATACCCAAAGAAACAGACTTTGATGGTGACCAGGGGTCGGAGGGGAAGAGGGGGAAGAAAAGCAATAGGCTAGAGGGTAGACAAATGTTAACTGTGAAGGGGAAGATGATATGCTACAAGATGTGGAAGTGAAAACGGGTGCGGGTGGGGGGGAATCAGGGACTGGGTGAATTATTGAGCAAGTTAGACAAGTTGTTTAAGTCATTGAAGATAAAGACAATGATCTGCAATGCAATCTCCCACCTAACTCACAACACAAGGCTTTTTGTTTGTTTTTTAATGTTGAACTGTATGAGTGGGCAATTGAACACGTGTGGCTGTGTGAGAGATGCAAATGGGTTCATTCCAGTTCTACAGTTCTGCCACGGCTGAGCATTTGCAGTTCCACCCGAGATACACTGACACTGACACGGAATCTGCAGTTTAACAAAATTCCCCAGGCAATTCATGAAATCTGCAGTTTAACAAAATTCCCCATGCAATTCCTTATTGCAGATCTATAAGAATCATCTGGGAATCTTATGAAAATATAGATTCTGATTCAGTATATCTGGGGTGAAAGTGCTACTTATCAGCAGAGAGTCAAATTGGAACCAGCCAGTTTGAATCCCTGGTGAGAGTTTGTCAGTAGATGCAGCGAGGTAAAAATTTAGGATCCTATCCTTTGACCTCCCTTGCCATCCATTTTAATTGGCTTTAGTTTTTCAATCCATTCTGCTTTTCTTTTGATTGAGGATTTTATCTGTTTTACTTCGTTATTGTTGTCAGTTGTGATTTTAGAAACGTTTTCCTGCAGATGCTATTTAGGGCAGGTTAATCCATAGAGACAGTAGTTTGATGAATGGTTTCTTGGAGCTACAGCACGGGAGGTAGGGGGAAAATGGGGAGCCAATAAGGATGCATACAATCATGAAGGGCAATGTCTGTAAACCAATTGTGGTGATGATTATACACCACTTCTTGTATGATTGAACTATTGAATTGTATGGTATATGAATTATATGGCAACAAACTGTTGAAAAATACCTTTAAAAGGCCTCCCTTTAGGTGAGCCACTGGGGATTTGCAGAGATTAAAATCCCTAGGCTCTTTAATAATTCTGCCCTTTTTAGTCCCCTTTTCTACTTCAGCTGATGGGCTAAAGACAAATCTACATCTTTGGTATTCTTTGTTTCAGGAGTATTCACCTTCGCAGTCAAGATCATTCCGTGAATTTCTCAGAAAGCCAGCCAGAGAGATGAACTTGACTAAAGCAAACATGTTAGTCCGAAACCTGTGGGAAATAAGCATTTGGCTGTTGACCGGGTGGAAAACAGCTCCATCTGCATAGGTGAGGCTCTCACAATTTCCAGGCTGAGCTTCGCACAGGTACGGAACAGTGACGGGCACGCATGCCAGGGCTAAGGATGCATTTTCAGAGGCAACAATAGGGTCTTCTGGGTGGCATGGCATTCGGTCCTTCTTCATGAAACGGGATAGCACAGGCTATTTATTGCTCCAAACACAAAGCTCTTAGGACGTGGCCTCAGCAAGTTCAAGACAATTACTCACGCTGGAGGGACAGCCCCGCTGCTGGGGTTCTGCAGCCCCTGTTTGCCATGGGGCTCCCCCATGTCGAGATGAAAGGCAGCCTGTGGTGGTGTTCTCAGTGGGTTTTAAACGGGAGCCTTGGGTGGTACAAGTTTCATTAACAATGGCAAATCAGGACAGCTTCTTTCAAAGCACAAAAGCTTCTGAGAAGTCTGTGGGGTTCCCTCACCAAACTGCTCTTACCAGACAATCGGCCTGTAATTCAATTGTACTCAAGGATTAGAAACATATGGATGGAATTCCCTTGAAAGGCAGCAGAGCAACAAAATAACTTTGGGAAAAGACAACAATTCTTTGCATATTAATTGCATCTGAAGACAAACATCTTCCATGAGTTGCCCATCCCCTGTAATTAACCATATTTTAACCATTTTCCAAGGATCAGCTCAAAGACCTCCTCCTATGAAACCTACACTTGGAACTTCAAACAATTCTCTCCCTTTTCAGTGGCCAGACATTTATGATCCACATCATTAAGATTTGCATCTGATAAGACTTGATTTAGCCCTTTATAGTACATTGCACTGCCTCCTGCCTAGTTCACCCTCTAATTGTTTCATACTGTTACTGTTTCTCCTCCGCCCAAAGATCGAAAACTTCCTGCTATTAGAAATCATGTCATATGTTCCAAGCATGACAATGTTGTGTTAAGCTTCCTGGGAAAGCTACAGAGAACGTGTTTGAGTCGATGTTGTGATGGTCTGAATTATACCCAACTTTGATCTCCGTTTCATACTTCCACAAACAGAGTGCAGAGAGAGGCCTGTGCTCTGCACAGTAACTTGTCCAAACAACGAAAGGTTGGGAGGAATCAGACTATGAAAAACAGTCGAGGCTATTTCCAAATCCCACTGAGTTTGTTTCCCACACACTTACTGGAGAGTGCCATGAAGAACATGAGTAGGAGCGTGAGGTTTTCCGCCCCCGGAGAGATGGAAGCATCAGTTTGCTGAAACATTGCCAATGGTATTTCGTCAAGCTCTTTGCAGGGTTCTGGGTTGGAGAACCGTTGCTCTAATGCCTCGAGGCCATCTTGCCTCAGTTTCCTCCCATTTGGGGTTGACTTACAGATAACAGTAGCCTTCTGTGTTTTCAACAGCGGAGTCCTTCTCTTCATCGTTTCAACTCACCCTAAGCTCTATCCAGATTATATTGAAAGAGGACCCCGCCAACATTTTTCTCTCCATGATATCTTCCTGTTAATTCCACATTTTACGATTAAATTGTTTTTAATAGGTCTTTATGGTCTGCTTCATTCTGTCATGGAGACATGCGCTCTTTGGGGACAAAAACCTGGTCTGTTTTATTCACTTCCTCTAATTCCTGACATAGGACATGGTATCAGATAGGTGATTAGAAAATAGTGTGGAAAGAAAGTGAGAGAGTCACACTCATTTATGACTTAGACAAGTGTCTTCCCACAGCTTAGAACTGACTCGTTCTGGTTCAACACTCTGCTGACAAGTTACATGTTCATCCCAGGTGGTTCTATGACTCACTACAGAACTACCTGGGGATCTTGTTGAACTATAGATTTGGATTCAGTATATCTGGGTTCACATGCTATCCGCAGCAGGGGGTGGAACTGGTTCGAGTCTCTGGTTCTTCCCAACTGAAATTCACTCTAGAATTTATCAATATCAATCTTTATCATTCCTGTTTTT